GGGGGGCGGGCGCTCGCCGGGGCGCGCTCTGGGGGCTCCGGCCCGCGGGACGGCGCGCCCCCCGTAGCTGGTCTGAGGGTCCGGCCGTCGTCTCCGCGGGCGCGGCGCTCGGTAGCGCCTCCCTGGCGGGTTGTGAGGACAGACGGGATCCTCCAGGGGCGCAGAACTACGGCCCGGGCAGGCGTGTCGGGGCGGCGGGAGGCCCCGGCTTCAGGCGGGCCTAGCTGTGGGGGCGAGCTCCCGGGGGCCCGTGCCAACGCGGATGTGGCGACCGTAAGCGGGGTGACTGTGGGCATCAGGTCGCTTCCCTGGCTGGGCTGTCCCTGCCGTCCTCTCGGAAACAAGCTTGGAGGCCAGGACAGGCCCCCACGGCAGGGGTGGGCCCCATTGGACCCAGCACGGAAACAGACACCATCTCCCCTGCTATAGGCTCACCTTCAGGACCACCCCGGGAGGCAGGTGCACCCCCACTCCTCAGGGGGACAGGCCTAGGCGCTGGGGGTTCAGCAGTAAGGGATGGAGCCAGTATGTGAACCAGGTGGTCTGGGTCCAGGGGTCCCTCTGTGCCTGCGCACCCAGGCTGAGGACGGAACCCCCCCTGAGGGGGCATGTCCTGGTCACAGGCAGCGGAGCTGTCGCTCAGAGGCCCGCCACGGCTCAGGCATCTTGACTGCCCATTAGAATACTGTATGTGCTCCCACCTGGGCTGGGCGCTGCAAAGAGCAGCTAGGGGTCCCACAGCCCCTGCACTCCCGCCCCAGGTTCTCATGGCCACCTGCAAGGGGTGGGGGGGGGTGGATTCTGGAGTGTGAGCTGCCCTGGGAACCCCCAGAGCCAACGGTGCCTGCAGGCTGGCAAGCAGGGAAGGCTGGCAGGAGGAAGAGGTCTTTCTCCTAGGGCCCTGGGAGAAAGCAGGGGTTGGGGAATGTTTTGGGGGGGGGCCTGGAAAGGGGGGAGGCCAGACAGCTGAGCCTTTCCCTACTGAACAGGTCAGAGGAGAGGGGGTTGCTGTTCTGAGCATTTTGCAGAGAGATATCACCCCTGTGTCCCCAGATTCTCTTCTTCATCACCCTGGTCCAGCTCAACCCTCCCCTCTCTGCAGGAGGGACTTCCTTAACCACCCAGCTAAATGGACCACCGATTGCACCCCAACAGGGCCCTAGCTTGCCCTCAGAGCATGTCTGCCCCCCTCAGCTCCATGAGGACATGATGTCTTCCCCTGTAGCCCTGGTGCCAAAAACAGTCCCAGCACACAGTAAGCCTGCAGTCTTTGTTACACAAGGGCATCTGTTCCAGATTTATCAATGAAGACGCTGCGCTCAGATAAGCGGAGTAACGTGCCTGAAGGCTCAGGGCTCAAGGGACAGAGGTCTGGCTCCAAGGGCCCCAGCTGCCCGCCTCTGTCAGCGCTCCTTATCCAGCCCAGCGCCTCCGTAGCTCCTCCCACAGGAGCCTTCCCAGCAGATGTGATGGCCGAAGGGCGAGCCCGCGCCCTCCCCCATCCTTGCCTGTGCCTGGCACTGGGCAGCCACATGTACAGGTCTTATCTTGCCAGCACCCTGTGAGTCACTCCTCCCTGGGAGCCCAGCCCCCCTCCAGGCTGCATGCAGGTTGGGCAGAAGGTGGGATAAATCCGAGCCCCGCCCTTGGGCAAGCCATACCTGATCCTCCCTCCCACGACTGCTGCTCTAAGGCTCGAAAATGTGGATGTGAAACTTCTCTGGAAACCCTGCACCAGTGCTCGAAAATGTGGATGTGAAACTTCTCTGGAAACCCTGCACCAGTGCCAGGCGGGGCCTGGTGTGGTCACGGCTGCGTGTGAAAAAGGGTGGCAGGAAGGGGCCTGTGGGTAGGGACTCAGAAACACCAGCCTCCCTGTCCAGGCTGCTCTCTGTGGCCTCCCTGGGCTAGGCTCCTGCCCCTGCTGGGTTATTCATTTAGAGATCCCTTTTTTTTTTTAGCTGAGCCATCCTGCCCCCTGTTGGCAGCTCAGCGGCAGCGGCAGCTCAGCTCGGGCCGGGCATTGAACCGCTGTTGCTCAGAGCTCGCACTCTTGAGCAAGCGCTTAACCAACTGAGCCACTTGGCCGGCCCTTCATTTGGAGATCCTTTAACGCCACACATCAGTTCATACAATCCTGTAGCCTGAGTGGGGGGCCCAGAGAGGACTCAGACCCTACCTGCCCCCAAGGAGGCCTTTGGGGGAGACAGCAATATCATGGGCGCAGCCCAGCCAGGAGCCCAGACAGTCAGGCCCTGCCTTGCCACCTGCCCCTGCTCATTCTGCAGGCTTGGGTGGCGGCCCGAGTCTGGCCAGCTTGTCTAAGGCAGACATCCTGCTCAGCAGCAGCCGACACCC